GGAAGTTGTTTGGATTGTATCTCAAGATCATCGAGTAGCTATTGTGATCAGCTTTGAGTGTGTGGAAGCTTACCAGTGTACCAATGGATATTGTTCTGTATGTTGGTAAACAGAGCAACTGGACAAATATGTCACCCTTCTATGGACATGTTCCAACTAGGTGATTATACCCTTTGTAAAACACTTACCTTTGCATCACTTTTCTGACCGTACAATGTTTCAATTGGTCATTGCCACGGACAACAAATAAGGACTATTACCAGATATGGATACTTGTCATCCTCCGTCATCCAGGAGAAGATTTCATTGGTTCATCTTCCTGTTGTCATGGTACTGTTGTGTTGGACTTTTGTCGGCGTCACCCAGAAGTCCTGTCCTGACCTTTGGTAGGCTATACACAGCAGGAATCCAGGCAATTCGCGACCGAAAATGGCACAAATGTATCCTGTTCATGAAAATGGCGATAGAAGACCATCGTTTCTATAAAGAATCAATTATCGACTGTCGACTCAAATGCAAACAGGAAGTCCACAAACACACTGGTGACAGTAGTTTCACTGTGCTGGACTTCCAGGATGTCTACCTTCAGCTTGCTCTCACAGAAAGGGCTTGTGTCCAGATCTGTAGGAATGTTGTCTTTGAGGAGCGACCCATCACTCGGATTTCTGAGGAATATTGGCATGATTTTAATATTGGCAAACCATACAATTATCTTCATTTCTGTTATTATAAGGTAACATATAAATTGTCATTTAATTATAGTGCTCACTCAGACTTATTCATGCAAAATGAATTTAACAATTGTATAGTTTTGTACATTGTAAGGCCATGTTTTCGTGTATGTGTCTGTGACAATGCCATGACTAAAAACCTTTCTTTGTGCAGACTGAATTGTTAATGTGTGGTGCAGAGTAAACTATCGCTACAGGGGGAGTGGGTTGCTAAAATTAAGGAAGATTTCATCTTTTTTTCTATTATGACAACTTCTTCACTGCTGTTTATTTTATTTTATTTCTTATACTCGCTGTATAACATGAAATGTTCACAGGTACAAATTTTAATAGTTACTCAATTTAACAAACTGTACCTATCAGAGCATTTTCAGTAATTTTTCACTAGTTAAATGCAATACAATAATTTTGCGTCGGGCAAACTTTCTTGTCTGTTATACTTATATTGTTAAATATGTTGGCATTCATAGACCACACTGTTGTACATTTAATATGTAACCATGAAAGTTGTCCATGCCTATAGGAATAATTCAGAACCTTTAAAGAAAAAGTTTATGAAAAATGTCATACAAAGTAATAGATTGGCCTATTGACGCTAACAAGGTAATGATGTTTTGAAGAAATAATGTGTCCCTGCGGGTAGGGCGTAAGAATTGTACCTGCTGCCCCCATTGCATGATCGTAAGAGGCGACTAAATTTGGGATCTTGTCTTTTCTCTTCTTTCTAAACAACTTTCTTCTTTTTAATGTCTCCCTTGACAATGCCTCACTTTTGGCCTTTAGTTGAACATTCGCCCCTGTGAGGAAGGCTTTGGGTTCTGTCCCCTGGCCGAGACATACCAGAGTCTGTAAAAATGGTACATAGTTTCTACTCCTGTTTAACGCTCAGCAATTTAGGAGTGGGACAATTGGCTCGCCCGTTGTCGGTAGAATGTGACCAGGTGGGCCCGGTGTCCTGCTGGGTGTCTTCGGCAGAATGTTTCAGTGAGGTAGCACTATAAAGTCGGCATCAGTTCCGCGCTATCACAAGGAGACAAACACGAACATATCGCAGCCTCCCAAAACACACACACATACACTACACGCATGCATCTTGCACACAGGGGAGGCCGTCCTTAAATGACCATAGCTGTTGATAGGATGTTAAACAATACTAAACCAAACCAAACTAAACCAAACTAAAGAAATAATGACCTTACCTAATGAACCGACCAACCACTGATCAGGGCATATGTAGGACAATATGACATAGAGATGGTGGACTAAACCTAACTCATAGATAGAGTTATAAATTCATCTGTGGTTATATTAGTAGCCCAATTCTTTCATTGTGTTGAAATACTTGTTGTATTTATTTTTCACGGTCCCATGGTATCAAGAAAACATACGAATGTTTATACACTACAAACATTTCATGTGATACAGTAAAACATATAAGATATAAAATATTAACTTTATTTATTTTACAACAATTATGAAGCAAATTATTTCAACTTATATAAATCACTCTTGTTGGCCCGGATGTAAGCGCGCGTAGAGTCTTAATGTGGGAGGAAACTGGAGTACCCGGGGAAAACCCACGTGGTCGGGCAGGTGACCCTATACCTTTTCACGTCCGATCAGGTATCGAACCCGGTCGCCTTGGTGAAAGGCAAGTGCGCTATCCACTGCACCACCCGACCACATATAAGATCTAGTGTAACACATAGAAACATACATAGTGCTTTCACTAAGGGCAACCTAGGAATTAACGATGTCTAGATTATTTTAACACCCTATTTTAAGAGTCTTGATACTAGCACTATATGCCAACAATGCCAGAATCCAACCCAACTCTAGGAGAAAAAGATGTTTCAGTATTTTTTTGTAAAGATGAAAAATGCTGAACACACAGGACACCAAAAGAAATATCAAAGTACAAACATGAAATGCTAGTCGAAGTGGAAAAAAGTCTTAAAAAACAAAAGGACTCCTGGAAATTAAGAACTGAAACATTTTATACAAGAAACAAAATGAATGAGTACTGTACTGTCTGTACCACGTCCAAACCATCATCAGTCAGGGTTCAAAAACTGTCAAATACCCTAGACCTCATGGCTAATTTAGTCTGGGTTTCTTATTATCTATGAGGTCAAGGTCATTGTTATAAGTCAAAGGGTAAATAATTGTAGAGTTTGTCGGACCAAATAAACTCAACGAGATATAACGAAGCTTTCATGGTCGAGACCCTATAAAGATGAAGGGTCGCAATATTATTATTTCATGAAGTTTGTAAGAGTATCATTGTACATTGTACATAAGATGTGATGGTGTTTTTTTTGTGCTGCAATAACCATGATTGAGTTATCATTTAATTTGAGACTTATCATTTGATGGCCATTTATATTTAATGCATTCACCCCTGAAATTTTATAATGGACTATTCCAAACTTTCAATTGGAAGAGTTCAAATGACTGTCTTCAGGGATAAATGAGCTGTATTTTTGCATGGAATTTTCTTTACCCTTTCACCCCTATTTAACTTTTAATGAACTCTACCATGCATTGATCTGGATAGGTCTATTATGGTCTATAGTGGTGAAAGGGTTATAGAGGAATCCACATTGTTTCAATATCAGAAATGCTTATACTGTATGTCTATGCAGTGCTTTTCGATCATGAAGAGGTGACTATAGGCAATGCATATAGCAATGGTGAGTTAATATTTTAGGAGAAAACGTTTCACTGCTACAGCTCAGCTTGTTAATTAAATACTTAAGTGAATTCTCTGTAAAAAAACAATATTTTAAAAGAAATTGATGAAGAAAGGATTAAATTTTTAGAGGAAGTTTTAATATAAAACCTGCATGAAGTTTTCCTATTTTTGATATTCTGTGTGTTTTCACTAAATCATCACAGAACCGTTGGTTACAATGTTCGCTAACGTTGTAACAGTCTGTATAAGCTGACTAGTAGTATAGCTAGGGGCACTACTGCAGTGATACAGGGAACTAAGACGTATATATTACATGTATTAGAAAGATCTGGAAATCTTATTTTAGACCCGTATTTACTACTAAAATACACATGTGTGTTGTGTTCTAGAATAAACAGTGACATAAGTGTTAATACAGATGCATGGTGCTCAATCTCCATACACAATAAAATCTAGGGCAAGTATCCAAATCTGAAAGTGATTTCATCCCTCGTCACAAGCTTTACTTAACAGGACTAATGTTTTGTAGTTGTTGTTTTCAAATTTTTGCTGTATCTTTATCCTGCCTCAGAATAGAAAAAAAACTGAACCTGCATGTTTGGGTATACTGTAGAATCGTTCATTTTCGTGGGGTTAAAATTTCATGGTTTTCATATACTAGCCTGTTTCAATGATTTAATTTCCCCTATCTATATCATACCAAATTTATGTTTTCGTAGGAATTTGATTTCGTGGATTTTTGTTATCAACGAAGTAAACGAAACTTGATGTCCCACGAAAATTTATGATTTTACAGTATTCTTGTCTCGGCTCTGGTCAAGGAGAGGAGGTTACAGACAGAGTTTGATATCTGTCTCGTTATATGTGTATCAAGCAATCGGCGTGATTCCAAAAGGACGTTGCTGATTCCATATATAATTACAGACCAGAAACAATTTTTTACTCTGGAAAGCTGTGTCTACCCCAGCCAGCTACACTACTTTTACAGGGAAGTTTCTGCTTGTGAACCTTGTTGAATTTAAATGACTTAACCAGGTTATTAGGAATCTAAAACTTAACGTATATGTCGAAGGAATTAAAGATTCTTTTAGATATGATGTATTTGAAGCATCAACATTGTACTCTATGCAACAAGTAATATTAAACACTTAGTATTGTTAACCCTTTAACCACTGTAGACCATAATGGACTCATCCAGATCAATGCATGGTAGATTCTACTTAAGTTACATAGGGGGGAAAGGGTTAAACCAGAGACATATATACTGGCTTCATACGTCTCTGTTAAACCAAAATAAAATGTTTCATCTCTAATTAAAACAATAAAACATTTTCATCTGCAAAATAAAACTTATGGGTGACTTTAAAACTCTAAATGTTTCTTATAAGTATATGTTTTTTTTCATTATAAAGGTAGTTAATTATCTATCCATCTACATAAGAGATATATAGGCATGTATTTTAGTTTTGTCTGTAGAGTAACCTGACATATGGTTGTAATATGTGGGTTTGTTTTTGCATCATGTAGTTTGACCCCGTCTTACTGAAATACTAACATGTTTTATTGTCCTATAGGTGGACCGAATGGCAGACGCCACATCTGCAGCCTACACCTTCTTTCTGAAAAACCCGGACCACCAAGACACCATTGATAATATCCAATCGTACCGCAAGGAATTTGGGGTCAAGGATAATGAAATTGTGGACATGGAACGAAAGCAATATAAGGTAAAACCACTCAAGTATCTCAGTTAGATGTTGTGTTAAGCTCTATTTATCTAAGAGGTCCAGGAGTCATCCAACTTTGTATGTGAGGATATATTCTGAGGAGACTACTTCACCAAATATCAAATGTAGGTCACTGTGACCTATGTACCACTTCATTGACTTTGGTTAGAGTTCATGTAGAGTTCATATTTAGACTTTGTACTAAGCTCGATAAAGGGAGCATTGTTAATAATAAACATGTTAAGGTCACCTGACCCCATGTGCCATTGGGCTTTATGTCGTTGCACTGCATCGGTTGCCCTTCCATCTTCTGACAACTTTTCATTTAAACGACTTCTTCTGATGAACTGAAAAATATAGAGTCATAATATTTGGCTGGTATTTTCCTAAGAAAGAGCCAGACAGAGTTTGCTCAAAAAATAATCCTTGACCCACCTTCAAGGTCTTTGGGGTCATATATATGTCCAAAACTTTGAACAACTTCTTTTGAAGTAGCAAAAGGCTTGGAGTGATTTTTGGTGTGTAGCTTCCTGTGATACAGCCTGATGATTTCTCTGAAGTAAAAAGGGTCTTGATGTACTGTCATGGTCACAAGTGTCAAATATGTCAGAAACTTCAACAAGCGGCCCAGGGTGATACTATTTGGCTAGTTGCATTCTAGGATAAAGGCTATCAGTTTTGTTAAAATAAATTACCCTTACGTTATTCAAGGTCACTGAGGTCAAGTAATTGAACTGACATCTTCTGAATAACCCAGAAGCCTAAGTTGTTTATATTTTGCCAGTAGCATGCTGGGATGAATGGCATTGAGCCCTTGACCCACTTTCAAAGTCACAGGGGTCAAATGTGTTTAAACCTTTAAACAACTTCATTTGAAGAACCAAGAGGTCTAGTTTATTTGTCCTGTAGGTAAATTGGTGTGAAGTGCTTTTTTATACACAACAAAAATGATGAAACAACAGTTTACCTGTTTATTATAATTCAAGATATTTAAATGAGGCAGATATCAAGATAAAAGAAAATACAAACTTATACTTTGGCGTATCAGGGGCTACTCACTCAACACAATAAGCTAATTATATACAATACTACAAAAACAAACATGTACTGACGAGATAGCCTCCTAAGCAAAGAAAGAGGCCACAAGGAAAAACAAAAAATATATTCTCAGCAATATATTTTAAGTAGGCCACACAACTCTTGAGCGATTCAAGACAGGCCAAATGTAAATATCTAGTGAAAGTTCTTGAGCGATTCAAGACAGTATACATGTAGATATCTAGAGCAAACCCTTGAGCGATTCAAGAGCTGCATATAAGATAGAA